GAGTTATATAGGTGCTGAGATTTTTATCTTTGCAGTACTTTTTATTTCAGTGTACTGTACAATTTTCATTTTTTGTGTGTGCTATGACATATGCCACAAAAAAGACTTGGAACAACTTGCTTAGAATGTGGGGCTAAGAGTGGTGCTAACGGCCTGGGGAAGCAGCAAGGCATAGCAGCAGAGAGAAACTGGGCTCTGTTTTGGGTGTGATTTAGAATTGCTTAGGATCCTGCTCAAGTCGTGGCCTTGACTGCTCCAGCTTCCCCTGTTAATTCCTGTTACACTTACTGTCATCCCATTCATTTGCTACACTGTACATAAAACCAGAATTACGCATTCTGGTACATTTATCTATTTCTATCCATCCAGTAAATACTCATGAAATGCTTACTGTTTTGTCAGAATTACAGAGATCAAAGCACTCAGTCTAATGGAGGGATATAGAGGGATGAACAGGCAATTTAGTATAGTGTGGGAATTGCTATTAACAGTAGAAACAGCCTTATTATAATCTTTTCCTTCCATTTAATAGAGGAAGAAGTTGAGGCCAGAGAAGGGGAAAGACTTAAGCAAGATAATACATAAATATCAAATTTATCTTTTTTTAAAAATTGAGGTATACCATAGATTAATATGTAAAATGGACTCATCTGAAATTTACCTATGTAAATGCTTGTGTAACCAAATGATCAAAATGGACACCTCCTTTGTGGTGGTGGGCTTGCTGATAGTATTGATCTGATCATCAAATCTTGGGCACGGGTGCTGATGGTCAGCTCTGTGCCCCATGAATACATATAATAAAGAAAAAGATAGATGTCTCCAGAACCTTAGAAGTTTCCCTGTTGCTCCTTCCTAGTCAGTCCATCCCCCACCCTTGTAAGTATCTACTGTATAATTCTGACCTGTTGATTAGTGTTACCTATTTTTGAACTTAATACAAATGGATTCATACAGTGTCTGGATCCTTTTGCTCAACGTAATATCTGAGAGATTCATCTATTTTGCTGCATGTGTTAATAGTTTGTTCATTTATATGTTGTATAGTATTTTTTTGTATTATACCACAATTTTTCCATTTTCCTTTTGATGAATATTTGGGTCATTTCCAGTTTGGGGCTATTATGAATAAAACCTCTCTGAGCATTCTTGCTTATGTCTTTTGGTGGATATATGCACTCATTTGTATTTTGTATATATGTCTAGAGATGGGATTGCCAGGTCATAGCGGAGGTGTATGTTAAGCTTTAGTAGATATTGCCAAACAGTGATTATGTCAGTTTTCCATCTTGCTAGCAATGTATGACAGTTCTGGTTGCTTCATATCCCCACCATTTGGTATTGTCAGTGTTTTTCATTTTAGACATTCTGGTAGGAGGGCAGGGATATTTCACTGTGGTTTTAATTTGCGTTTTCCCAATGATTAATGAAGATGAGAACCTTATCAGCCATTTGGATATTCTTGTTTGAGAAATGTCTATTCAAGGTCTTTTGCCTATTTTTTTTGTCTCTTACCGATACATAGTGTTTCATTATATATTCTGGATATGAGTCCTTTGTCAGATATGCATATTGCAAATATCTTCTTTCAGTTTGCATCTTGTCTTTTTGTTTTCGTGATGTTATCTTGATAAATACAAGTTCTTAATCGTGTCCAGTGTAGCATTTTTCCCTTATGGTTAATACTTTTTGTGTACCATTAAGACACTTTTGGCTACCCTAAGTTCATGACGTTATTCTCCTATGTTTTCTTCTTGAAGCTTTATCGTTTTACCTTTGATGGTCAAGACTGTGATCCATTTCAAACTATTTGTGTGTGTGTAGTGTATGAGGTAGGGTCAAGCTTCATTTACTGAAAAGACCATCTTTTCCTCACTGTATTGTAGTGGCACCTTTGTTGTAAATCCCAGCACCCTTTTTAAAATAGATTATCCTTTTCCCACTGAATTGCTATGGAGCCTTTGTCATAAATTAAGTGACCAAATATGTGCAGGTCTATTTCAGGATTCTCTCTTCTGTTCCATTGGCCTCTTTGTGCCAATACCT